TATGTTGTTCTATATACACTAGATCACGTGTATTATGTTGTTCTTTATACACTAGATCACCAGCAGGTTCCATCTAGTTCTATATACACTAGATCACATGTTCTACCTTGTTCTATATACACTAGATCACGTGTTCTATGTTGTTCTATATACACTAGATCACATATAGGTTCCATGTTCTATATACACTAGATCACACACATGCTTTACCTTAACCTTGTTCTATATATACTAGATCACGTGTTCTATCTTTTTCTATATACTCTAAATCACCAGCAGGTTGTGTCTTGTTCTATAAACACTAGATCACCTGTTCTATCTTTTTCTATATACACGAGATCACCAGCAGATGGTGTCTTGTTCTATAAACACTAGATCACGTTTTCTCTCTTGTTCTATATACACTAGATCACGTGTTCTATATTGTTCTATATTCACTAGGTCGCTTGTTCTATCTTGCTGTACACACACTGGATCACCAGCAGGTTGTATCTTGTTCTATATCCACTAGATCGCGTGTTCTCTCTTGTTCTATATTCACTAGATCACTTGTTCTATCTGCTTCACACACACTGGATCACCAGCAGGTTGTATCTTGTTCTATATCCACTAGATCACGTGTTCTCTCTTGTTCTATATTCACTAGGTCGCTTGTTCTATCTTGCTGTACACACACTGGATCACCAGCAGGTTGTATCTTGTTCTATATCCACTAGATCACGTGTTCTATATTGTTCTATATTCACTAGGTCACTTGTTCTATCTGCTGTACACACACTGGATCACCAGCAGGTTGTATCTTGTTCTATATACACTAGATCACGTGTTCTATATTGTTCTATATTCACTAGGTCACTTGTTCTATCTTGCTGTACACACACTGGATCACCAGCAGGTTGTATCTTGTTCTATATCCACTAGATCACGTGTTCTCTGTTGTTCTATATACACTAGATCACGTGTTCTATATTGTTCTATATTCACCAGATCACTTGTTCTATCTTGCTGTACACACACTGGATCACCAGCAGGTTGTATCTTGTTCTATATCCACTAGATCACGTGTTCTCTCTTGTTCTATATACACTAGATCACGTGTTCTATATTGTTCTATATTCACTAGGTCGCTTGTTCTATCTTGCTGTACACACACTTGATCACCAGCAGGTTCTATCTTGTTCTATATCCACTAGATCACATACAGGTTCTATGTTGAGCTATATACACCAGATCACATACAGATTCTACCTTGTTCTATATTCACTAGATCACATACAGGTTCTAGCTTGTGCTATATCCACTAGATCACATATAGGTAATATCTTGTTCTCTAACTACTAGACAGGTTCTATCTTGTTCTATATCCACTAGATCGTATGCATTGTCTATATTGTTCTATATCCACTAGATCACATAATATGTTCTATCATATTCTATATCAACTAGATCACATACAGGTTATAGCTTGTTCTATATCCAATAGTTCACATATATGTTCTATCTTGTTCTTTATCCACTAGGTCACGTACAGATTCTAGCTTGTGCTTTATCCACTAGGTCACGTACAGATTCTATCTTATTCTATATCCATTAGATCACATAGAGGTTCTATCTTGTTCTATATATACTAGCTCACATATAGGTTCTATCTTGTTCTATATTTATTAGATCATGTACAGATTTTAGCTTGTTCCATATACACCAGATCATATGCAGGTTCTATCTTGTTCTATATTTAGTGGAGCACGTACAGGTTCTATCTTGTTCTATATTTATTAGAGCATGTACAGGTTCTATCTTGTTCTTTATCCACTAGATTATATACAGGTTCTACCTTGTATTTGTTCCGACACCGGATATTATAATAACAATAAGAACAAGAATAAAAGTAAGACTACTACTACTACTACTACTACTACAACTAATTACTACTTCTATTACTACTACTACTTCTACTACTACTACTACTACTACTACTACTACTACTACAACTACTACTACGACTACTCCTACTACTACTACTACTACTACTACTACTAATACTAATACTTATAATAATAACACACATACGAAATAATATTATATGCTCGCATCGCTGCATCATTACCTCGATCAATTTATCAGTATGCACTCGATTTTGCATTCTCAGCTCCCTCGGGAGTATACAAACTGCCTGTGAGGCTGTAGAAGTTAACAGTCACACTCCCACCTTATCCACCGGGTACCCATTATTCGCAACATCGCTGACGTAAAACAACATTCACTTAATCACCGTCTTCATCCCTTCACACCGAAATGTGGCGGCAAACCCTCAGTCTACAAATGCAGGTTCTATGCAAAGTTTAGCTTATGACTTAAACTGTCAGGCGTAATAAGTATGCGCTTGAAAAATAGATTTAACCGACAAAATATTTTTTTTTATCAAAACGTTACTACAGTCGCCGAAACACTGCACATTTTAGGTTCAAAACACACCTGTGATACGGTATCAAATACACCACCATCGAATAGACGTTTCTTGTTGCTGTTTCAGGCTCCACCAAACATGGTATATACTTTCTTTTGTCGGAATCGTACAATGGAGATGTTCTATGATTACGGAAATGATCTGCCGGTTTTATTGGATCTAATGGTACACGTGCACATATATGTTTTCAATCCAGTCAAGCTAAAGAGGACGTTGAACCTAGAAGTTTCTTAACTTCATACACCTGAATCAATTACAAAGCGCATTATCTCGCATAGCCAAACGCTGGAAAATTGAATTAATTGAATTCGCATGACTCATTGAGTTGTAACAGATTTGAGTTACGAGTTACGCAAACAGTGAACTACGTTCACAAGTAATTCTGATCTAATGTCTCGAAAACATCTCAACGAGTAATAATCTTTCTATCTTCGGCTAAAGAACAAGTCGGATATCCTGTGTGTGATTTGTAGGTCTCCGTTACGTAAGCTCTCCACGCCGATCAATATCGCGGATCCTTGAAAGGAGAGAAGATTAGAAAACGAGCACCACTTCTTTTCCGAATCGAGAGCCTTTGTAGGAAGTAGATCTAGGTCAACATGAAAGTGTGAAAAGTAGAACCGGGCACTTTTTCAGCTGTTGCGTACATGTGAGAGCAGAAAAGAGAGCTATCAATAATTTATGTTTCATGAAAAACGTGGTCTTTTTAGTGAAACCTACTTTTCGCATTACCCTCCCGTTTTCCATAATTTCCCAGAAGTTCTTTGTTGTGAGGATTACCGCGCTGCCGACTTCCACGGCCGAGTCATTGGCTTGTTAAAGAGGTTCCCGGAAGGAGCGGATTGAGTCTCATGAAAGAACAAGACCTGTTAATGTATTCGTAATCCTGTGCAGAGAATAGAAATATTTTACCCTGTGTGTTCACATTTCAATTTGGGAGCTGAATTAAATTGCTTATGTAAGACACTGAGTATTTGACATTGAAATGTCCTGATCTCTTCTCGATATTCTCGTATTACTATTTCTTATGACAGTCATTATAAACTCAAAAATTAGATTTGAAAAAAAAAATTACAAACTTTATCCATCAGGTCTTCGAAAGGCATTAAGAGGTGATACGCAACGTTTCGGAGTATCTGCTTACTCCTTCATTCAAGTATATACTCTTCATAATAAAGAAGTTGACATCCACAAATTCTCTTCCTTATGTGTATCACTTCAAAATTACTTTTAAAGACTGATTTTTATATCGTTATTTCCTTGTTCTTTTAAACGGTAAGTGTCCCATCTCCAGCTTTAGATAGCTCTGTGCAGGATCGCAGTCGAATGTACTGAAGTCAAACGAGGAGAAAGCCTTCTCTATCACAAGAGGAAAGTAAATATATCGACTTACATTTACTTGTGGGTCGGGATTGTTCAAAAACCTGAGGCAGAACGTCTTCGCGTATATCCTGGAACAAATCCTTGTGTCTTAGTGAGTGGGTGAGTAGGTGAGTGCGGTTTTTACGCCGCTTTTAGCAATATTTCAGCAAAATCTCGGCGGGGAACACCAGAAATGTGCTTCATACATTGTACCCATATAGGGGAATCGAACCCGGGTCTTCGGCGTGACGAGCAAACGTTTTAACCACTAGGCTACCAAACCGCCCCATTTTTGATGATGACAACGACGATGCTGATGGGGATGGTAATAATAATGCTGCTGCTGCTGCCGATGATGATGATGTCGATAATGATATCGCTGGTACTGGTGATGAAGATACAAATGCTGCTGCTGCTGCTGCTGCAGCTGATGATGGTGATGGTGATGGTGGTGGTGATGGTGATGATGATGTCGATAATGACATTTTTGGACCTTAAGTTTTCAGAGTTTCAGTGCCTGCTTTCGTCCTTGTAATATACTGATAGTGTCTGTACTTTTTTTGTCAAATCAAATTTTCAAGTGTATACTTTCTCTTCCTCGGCAGTTTATTAATCATTAAGTAAATATAGTTTTGTATTTAAACCCCAGGCCTTCCATGCAGTAGATAAGATTATCGTTGTTAACCAAATTCTGATTATGATTTGAAATGCCCCTCAGCGTAGCGTTATATAATATTCCACTCAAGATGCACTTACCCAGATATTCTTTGTCCTGAGAGATGCGTTATATTCCCAACAATAACCTAAACAAATTATAAAAGCACCATTGGTCGCGAGTAAATACTGAAAGATAATTTGGGACGCCATTATTTGAAGAACAACGAAAATATTGTTTCAGACAGAACTCAAACAATCCATATTTTTTAATTGCTTGTTGCGGTAAGGAATCGAAAGCTTTCAAAAAGGACATACCGCAGCAGGCACTCAAACCGCATGGCTATTCTAACAATTGAAACCGGTTGTTGCAGCGATACACAAACATATTGAGCGACTGGACGAGTGTGTACAAGCATCGAGTGTAGCTTTGCCAGCGTGTTAGACGCGTTAACGCTGAGAGGGTTGAATACAACGTGACGCTGTCTGAACATGTGAGATTCCAAGTAATATCAAAATAACATCAAGTTATAAAAGCACTATTTGTTAAAATTCAATACACAACTCTTTCTGATCATCTCCCGCTGAAAATTTGATTTGCGAGTTGTCGGGTGCAATTAGATTAACATGTACACCAGCGCTCGGCGAATACACAATGGCGTTAATCGCACTGGCGGACAGAAACATTGCCGACAATTGTTGACTGTCGAGAGTCGAAGTGAAAATCTCAGTATGGGATGGCAATTATTCCAAGCCGTTGACCTGTGCCGATGAAGTTTATACGGTTGGAATGGGCCCGAGAAACAATTCATCTCAATTTGGATACACTAGTTTCAGCGTAGCCCGGATGAGGGGGAAAGAGGGCCTCGTTTAAACATTAAACGTGCATGTGTCTTGAGAAAACGACGTCAGTGGGTGATCCCACAGACAAAGAACGACATATTGTGGAGGGAATTTAACGAGAGGAAAGACAACGATTCATTATAAAGGTAATATACAGAGGATATGTGGCGTTTCTTGTCAAATAATATGTTTGTCTTACCGAGTGACATTAAAGAGTTGATATTGTCACAGGCAGATGTCATAAAGCTGTTAAAAGATCAGAAAGTATTCTATTAGTTATTTGTTATGTTATACATGTCCGTATGACAACACCTCAGTGTTGTTTAGTTAAACATGAAGTGTAGGTTTTGCTCGGGTGAAATATCGTTCTCGATTTTGTTTTCGGGTTTAAAGGCGTAACTGCACTTATATAGCGACGTGTATATGTGAGTGAGTGAGTGTATTGTTCCGAACTGATTCCGGTTCTATAGTGCAAGCCCACTGAGCTGACATGCCCTAGTTTAACACGGATACCCCACTGATGCAGGGTAATAACAAGATACATCTTCTCACGTAGTTTTCTAAGACGCGGCCGGGGATCGAACCACCGACATTCTGCTCTCCCGGTAGACACACTATCCACGATTCACGGTAAAATTCATTCATAAATACAATTAAGCTTTTCAGTGGGATTGAGGTTTGTTTGTTTGTTTGTTTGTTTGTTTGTTTGTTTATTGTTTAACACCGCTCTCAGCACTATTCCACTATTGTTGCCTCTTACGATGAACATCTTTTACGGCAAGCATGGGTTTCTGAAGACCTACTCCACCCCGGATCTTCACGGGGGATAGAGTGATGAGCATCATATGCTCGATGGTAGTTGGGAGACTTTGTGCCAAAACGTCTGGCTTCGAACCCGGAATCCCCCCATGATAAAGAAACTAGCCGCTTTGCGTTCTTGAAATCTCTGATCATTAAGGTCAAGGCCGCGACGCACACGTGACACATGTCTCTGTCATAGACGCAGGGAAACCATGTCTGTTGATTAATGGCCGACTTGATTGAAGATAAGCGGCCCTGTATGCTAAAGTGGGTTTACGAAATGTGCTGTCATGAAATATCAATCCTGTAGTTCACCAAATGTTTACATTTGTCAGTGAACACAAAAAACAAAAACGTCAACGCCGAAGAATTATCAATCTCAAATTCCACATGGTGGAAACGGCGAAATAGTGATGAGCAATGCATGAATGGATGACTGAATGTCTTGATGACACGAGGGGTACGCTAGAAGGGTAGGAACTCCCTGTCTACCGGTATCTACCCCCACTCACACAATTATCATGAAACCATAGCCCATGAATAAGAAGGTGTGTAAACTCCATGTAAAGTGGGGCGGTGGGGTAGCCTAGTGGTTAAAGCGTTCGCTCGTCACGCCGAAGACCCGGGTTCGATTCCCGATATGGATACAATGTGTGAAGCCCATTTCTGGTGTCCCCCGCCGTGATATTGCTGGAATATTGCTAAAAGCGGCGTAAAACCATACTCACTCACTCACTCACTCGAAAGTACTATTCGTGATGGCCGTATTATGTTTACCCCGAACGGTCGCTATGGTAACTTGCCAATACACAGAGTTACATACACGAAACAGTTTATGCAACTTGACAATTTCGACCACGTTTCCTTCTTTCATAATATTTGCTAAATGGTTGGAATGTATGAATACACAATGCCATTTAGAAAGTGGTCAAATGTAACAAATGTTATATTTGGGATAACACTTTCTTACTAGGCTACCCGACCGCCCCATAGTACTTTCGACCCATCTCCGAAATCGGCGACTGACCTCGACAATAAGCTGGTGTAATTTAGAAAGAGTCCCCAGGTTTATTTCACGAATCATACGATGTATTGTACGTTGTTTGTTTAACCCTGCATTTCGTCCAGTTTAGATGAGAAGGCATGCGTATCACCGTTTCATATCAGAAACATTATCAAAAGGTTTTGTAAGGAAAATATTTCTAAGAGAGCCATTTAGGCACGTGGAGCTATACTAATCATGCCATTGTGATTTTAACGATGCTATTGGCACTGTAATATAAAGATTTTGCATTTGCACACAATATTTTCCAATCAGGTTCACTGACCCTCACCAAGAACACAAATTGCCAAAAACAAAATTGTGATGTATGACAATCAAATCATTTGCTTCATCGCCATCCCCGATTTGTTTCTTGCACTATGGACCAACCTCTGAGACCTCGCCTGATTATCCCCGGGCTACACAGTACCGTTATCCCACACGGACCTTCATCTAAACTTCTAAAGAACGACCCCATGTACCAAGTCTCCCGTTACACGGGTCACGGACTAGCTAAACAAAAAAGTCACCCCCAAGTGACCGACTCTGCACATAATTCACTCTCATAATTAGATTGTTCCAGTACACATCTCCACATTGAGAGATTTACGTGTGTCTTGATGAATAATTGTATAGCGTGGCACATGCACCGACTGAAGGAGAAGCTGCACTAGGAATCCTTGATGAAATGACATCGTCACTTGTGTCTTTCTGTGGGTTAATTTAGCTGCGTCAAATCTACATACGTCAAAGATGAAGAACGTGAGGATGGGCACTTGCCTTTGGGGTTTTGAAAGGAGCCATCGGCGGAGATGGACACGCCCACCTTGTCGAGAACACCTGGCGTCATGACTTTGAGTCATTGTTATGATGTAGTCGGAACCGTACGATAGATGGTCATGGTGTCTTTCATTTACAGATAACGAAAATATGGTGTACTTGTAGCTCGCTTTTTGTTTACTCTGCTCTCAGGTTATTGGTCATGTTGACACGTACAGGAGTAGGAAAGTATGGTGTACTTGTAGCTCGCTTATTGTTTACTCTGCTCCCAGGTTGCTGGTCATGTTGACACGTACAGGAGTACGAAAGTATGGTGTACTTGTAGCTCGCTTATTGTTTACTCTGCTCTCAGGTTATTGGTCATGTTGACACGTACAGGAGTACGAAAGTATGGTGTACTTGTAGCTCGCTTATTGTTTACTCTGCTCCCAGGTTGCTGGTCATGTTGACACGTACAGGAGTACAAAAGTATGGTGTACTTGTAGCTCGCTTATTGTTTACTTTGCTCTCAGGATGTTGGTCATGTTGATACGTACAGGAGTACGAAAGTATGGTGTACCTGTAGCTCGCTTATTGTTTACTCTGCTCTCAGGTTATTGGTCATGTTGACACGTACAGGAGTAGGAAAGTATGGTGTACTTGTAGCTCGCTTATTGTTTACTCTGCTCTCAGGTTGCTGGTCATGTTGACACGTACAGGAGTAGGAAAGTATGGTGTACTTGTAGCTCGCTTATTGTTTACTCTGCTCTCAGGTTATTGGTCATGTTGACACGTACAGGAGTACGAAAGTATGGTGTACTTGTAGCTCGCTTATTGTTTACTCTGCTCTCAGGATGTTTGTCATGTTGATACGTACAGGAGTACGAAAGTATGGTGTACCTGTAGCTCGCTTATTGTTTACTCTGCTCCCAGGATGTTTGTCATGTTGGTACGTACAGGAGTAGGAAAGTATGGTGTACTTGTAGCTCGCTTATTGTTTACTCTGCTCTCAGGATGTTTGTCATGTTGGTACGTACAGGAGTACGAAAGTATGGTGTACTTGTAGCTCGCTTATTGTTTACTCTGCTCTCAGGATGTTTGTCATGTTGGTACGTACAGGAGATGACAGCCTTTGCATCATTGGCAGCCTACTTCTGGTGAAACTGCATCACTTTATGTTTGGTATATTATTGGAGAGCTTTGCTTATGAACGTGATAAATATAGATAAACTTCAATGTTATTTAGGAAATGACTTTTTGGAGTGACAACGTGCCTTCAAGAACGAATTATGAATGTTCGTTCAAGAAATGACGTATAGGAACATCTTTCCTTCAAGAAATTACTCATTAGAAGAAACGTGTTTCTTCAGGAAATGACGTATTGGAACATATATTTTTCTCAAGAAATTACTTTTTGGAAGAAGTATTTTCCTTCAAGAAATAATGTGTTGGAACATATATGTACACATATGTTTCTTGAAGAAATAACTGATTTAAACTGCAATAATGTTTCTTCAAGAAATGACTTATTGTACTATATGTCTTTCTCTAAGAACTGACGTATTTGAAGCAAAATATGTAACCTCAAGAAACTGCTTTTTTGAACGCATATATATGTTCCTTCAGGAAGCATCTTATTGGAACGCAATATGATCCTTAGAAAACACTGGAGCTCGAATACCAATTGAAGAGGTTTTTTATTTGGTTTCAGAAACTACTTTGGTTTTGTTTTCAGATGCTACTCCCATTTCTTTTAGCTCACATATGCCACTTCACAGTCGATTTATTGACAATTAATTGCTACTCCCTGAACTGTTCTATCACATGTCGGAAATCGCTTCACCAATCTTCCTATTAATGATAGACCTTCTTCTGACAGAACATGATGACGTCCCCGTGGAAGAACTCCATGTTTATGTTATTGCGCAGACAGAATATCGATAATTGATTAATTCGTTTGCCGGTTATCGAGGGGTTCTCTTATGTGTTCATGTTATTAACTCAACTGTATTCACCCGCAGTCACAGTTCACATTCATCCTGTGTGAAAGGCGAGTTCGTCAAGTTTCAAGGGTCCATGTTTTTTTAATTTTCCATCCAAGGTTATGTTAGTGTGGAAGCTCGGAATGACGATTTCATGTTCGTCCTGAATGCCAGATTAGATTACTTCAGTGATTCTATTCCAGAAACAAAAACTTTGGAAAGTTTTAACGAACGATGTCATTTCACGTTTGAAGTATGACCCACATTGGTCAGTGCCCTACCCGTGTGGGTCAGTGAGTGAGGTGAACAGAGTTCCTGTTATATCGCGGCGTGTCAGCTTAATGTGGGAGGAAAGCCCGAAGTGATGCAGGTCTCAGACGTTTACCACTTCGGTGAAACCCACGAGCATGGTATGGTGCTGACAAACCTAGAAACCCACCAGCATGGTATGGTGCTGACAAACCTAGAAACCCACCAGCATGGTATGGTGCCGACAAACCTAGAAACCCACCAGCATGGTATGGTGCTGACAAACCTAGAAACCCACCAGCATGGTATGGTG